GCAGGACAGGCTTCAGGTATCTTGCCTACTGAGTAGGGAGCTGGGATATTCATACACCACCTCCTCTCAGTTATTAGCGGACAGCTACTGTGGGGTGTTGGGGGGTCAGGGGGAGATGGCTGAACTCCCGCACTTCCAAGCAGCCCAAGGGTTGGAAAAGGTAGGCTCCCTTCCTCACCCCTGCCTACCCACTGTCTGAGTCTTCCCAGATACACTTCTTCCATCCAGCCCACAATGCAGCAATGCATCTCTTAAGAATTTCATAAAAAAAAAAAAAAAAAAGAATTTCATGAGATCAAAGACCACTATCAACTAGCTTGAGGAATACACTGGTTAGCCATCTAAACTTTCTGAGCAGCCAGGGGCTTTGGTGAGGTTCACCTGAGTTCCTGGGAGTAGTCTCAGGGAGGAACTAAGAGAGGAAGGGGTCAAGAGCATGAGACCTGCCCCCAGCAGCGGGCTGAACTAAGAGCCCAAGTGAGTGTTTCCTCGAAAGCCTGTCGACTCAAGGTGGAACCTCAGAAGCTCAAGTGCAGAAGCCAGACATAGACAAGCCCCAAGGAGTCCAAGACACAGCTCCCAACACGAGAGGGTCAGGCAGGACAAACAGAGGTCCATCAACAAGCTCCAAATGCATCTAATTTATTACGCATCTTACAAATTTTAAACAGTTTTCAGCAAGTTGAACATTTAAAAACACTATAGTCATACTGAATGTTTTAGTAAGTGTATGTATTGACTTTTCAAAATTAAAAAATAAACAAAGATGATAAATAGTGTATCTTTATATGCATATGTGTGTATGTATATATATATATATATGGCTTCCCTGATGGCTCACAAGGTAAAGAATCGGCCTGCCAATGCAGGAGACGTGGATTTGATCTCTGGGTCGAAAAGATTATCTGTGTTCGGGGAAGCACACTGCTGAAACAGCCCACCCTGGCCAGGCACCATAGTAACCATCTGCAGGAGTTGTTTCATGACAGGAGGTCCTGGTGAGGAACATGGAACTAATAAGACACCACCAACTGGAAGAGTTCAGGAAAGGTCACACGGTGACCCCACATGTCCCACTACCTCCCAGAATCCTCTCTGGCCCCCATCTTGGCTGAGCGACGCGTGCACCACCAGGAAGGACTCTGAGTCAGAATGACTGGTCAGAGACAACCCGGAAACTCATCCCATCACCATAAACCCCGAGGCTGCGAGCCACGTGGCAGAGCTGTCCTCCTGGGCTCCCTCACCCTCCCGCTCTCCACCTGGGCGCCCTTTCCCAATAAAATCTGCTTTCTCAGCACATGTGTCTCCTTGGACAACTCATTTCTGAGTGTTAGACAAGAGCCCACTCTTGGGCCTGGAAGGGGTCCCCCTTCCTGCAACTCCTGGAGAAAAAGAAAATGGCAACCCACTCCAGTATTCTTGCCTGGAAAATCCCATGGTCAGAGGAGTCTGGCTGGCTATAGTCCATGGGGTTGCAAAGAGTCAGACACGACTGAGCAACCCACACACATACACTGTGTATGTATATATATAGTAAAGAAATATCCCTATTACGTATGAAAATATACTATAAAGTTAAGATTTTTAAATACTGAACTGGCACAAGAGTAAAGCAATTCAATGTAAAACAAAATAATGCCCAGGAATATGTTAAACATTTAAAGAATTTAGCATATTATAAAAGTAGAATTTTAAATTTGTAGAGAAAAAGTACATTAATAAACAATAAGATAGTGCTCAGATGATTGGTAAGTTTTTCGGGGGGAAAAAAAGTTAAATATCTCATGCTATATGTATTTCAGATGAATCAAAATTAAATCTAGAAATGAAAACACAAAACAACGAGAGGAAAATGTAAGTCAGCAGTTGCCTGATGTCAGTCAAGGAAGTTATTTCCAGGTAAAAATACTAAGAATCATAGAAACTAAAATGCCAAGAGTCAAAAAACACAACAAGGGGCTTCCGTTGTGACTCAATGGTAAAAAAAAAAATCCACCTGCCAATGCAGAAGATACGGGTTCAATCCCTGATTTGGAAAAGATCCCACATGCCACAGAGCAACTAAGCCAGTGCAGAACTATCGAGCCCGAAACAAGAGAAGCCACAGCAATTAAAAACCAGAGCATTGCAACTAGAGAGCAGCCCCTGCTCGCCGCAACTGGAGAAAAGTCCGAGCAGCAGGCAAGACCCAGCACGACCAAAAATAAACAAAATTTGAAAAAGAAAAATCACCATAAGTATCATGAGAAGTCATACACAGGAGGAAATTACATTACTATATGATTAATGGTGACTAGCATAATTAATGATGTAGTATTTATATATATATAGATATATATATATATGTATATAAGAAAAACAGATAAAAAACCAAATAGAAAAATTTTGGCAAACCTCATGAACTGACAACATGCATGTAAAGAAATGCTTAGTGAACATTTAAGACAATATCAAGTGACAGTAATAACCAAAGAGACATATATCAAAACAGGGAGAAATCATTCCCGCTTATCAAACTGACAAAAATAAAACATAATATTTCCATTATTGGAGAGGGGTCAAGGAAGAAATGTCCACACTCATTGCTGCTGGATGTTAAAATAGACAGGAACTCCTAGAAAAAGATTAAGCCATATTTATCACTTTCTTTAAAATGTGCATGCCCTTTGATTAATTACTCTTCTGCAGGGTCTTCCTCAGAAAATAACCAAAGATGTTCACTGAGATGTATTTGATAAGAATGTCCAATCATTCATTGTTGTAATCGTGAAAAGTTGGAAAGAACCAAAATGTTCTCAAATAGGTGATTGATGAAATAAACTATGTTACACCTACGTGGTAGAACAATACACAGTCACAAAACATGTGTGCTTAAAAACAGCTACACCTGGTTTAGCAAGTAAGTTTGGCAGTCACCAGTCTATCCTAATGATGATCAAAAAGCTTGAACAGACTGAAAAATCAACAATTCTGAGATCCAGAAGAGAGGGGAGGACTCTGCCTCCAAGAGGGCAAAGCTCTGCCCCCAAGATTAAAGAGGCAGACAGGCAAGAACAGGGAGGGACTTCCCTGGTGGTCCAGTGGTTAAGACTCCAAGCTCCCAATGCAGGGGGCCTGGGTTCAATTCTTGGTGGGGGAACTAAGATTCCACATGCTGTCCATATGGCCCGGGAGGAAAAAACCAAAGGCAAACCACAGATTTCCACAGAGCCTGGCAGGCTACAGGCCACGGGGTTGCAAAGAGTTGGACATGAACTGAGCAACAAACATGCTTCCATTGATCTGGGGGAGGGAAACACCCAACTCCATGCAACTTGTTCCATACTCTCATCTCACCTAAGCAGGGAGGGAGAAACCAGGAAACTCTGGTGCCATTCACAGTCCAAAGCACAGTCTCACTGAAAAACCAAGACTGAATCAAAAGACTAGAACGCCTCCCCCTGCCCACTCCTCGCCTCCACCTTGCTGAAGCCCTATTTACAGCAGTTTCTTTTACCTGTACATCCTTGTTGTTGTTCAGTCACCGAGTCATGTCCAACTCTGTCACCCCTTGGACTGCAGCATGCCAGGCTTCCCTGTCCTTCACGATCTCAGAGAGTTTGCTCAAACCGATGTCCACCAAGTCTGGGATGCCATCCAACCATCTCACCCTCTGTCCCCCTTCTCTTCCTGCCCTCAATCCTTCCCAGCATCAGAGTTTCTTCCAGTGTGTTGGCTCGTTGCATCAGGAGGTCAAAGCATTGGAGCTTCAGCTTCAGCATCCAGCCTTCCGATGAACATTCAGGCTTGACTTCCTTTAGGATGGACTGGTTTGATCTCCCTCTAGTCTGAGGGACTCTCAGGAGTCTTCTCCCGCACCATCCAGCTGTTGAAGCCCGTGCGTGTGTGCTAAGCTGCTTCAGTTGTGTCCAACCCTCTGCGACCCTATGAGCTGTAGCCCCCGTCCCCCCCCCCCCCCCCCCCCGCCAGGCTCCTCTGTCCGTGGGCTTCTCCATGTAAGAACACTGGAGTGGGTTTCCATTTCCTCCTCCAGGGCATCTTCCTGACCCAGGGATCAAACCTGTGCCTCCTGTGGCTCCCGCATGGCAGGTGGATTCTTGCCCGCTGAGCCACAGGGGAAGCTCTATTAAGGCATACCGAAGGGCAAAAAATATAATTTAAAATGACAGAGTTAGCATCAGAACCAGATGTGGAATCTAAAACAACTACAGTTAACATGCTAAGGGCTCTAATGGATGGAGTAGACAAGAACACATGGGCAATGTAAGTAAAAAGATAAAAATCTTAAGAAAGAGCCGAAAAGATAATGCTAGAGATTTTAAAAAGATGACAACGACAACAGCAACAAAAAAAGCCCAGTAACAGAAATGGAGGACCGTGGGCTTTTCGGTAGACTGGATGTGGCTGAAGAGAGCACGTCTGAGCTAGAGGGTATATACGAGACTCCTCCAAAACTGGAAAGCAAAAGAACAAAGGCCGAAACAAAGAAGAGAAGGACCAAGGACGGCAGGGCAGCGGCCAAAGGCGAGACACACGCGTAAAGGGTGTGGGCGCGCGCTAAGCCGCCCCAGTCCCGTCGGACCGAGACGCTGCGGCCTGCGCCTGCCAGGCTCCTCTGCCCGGGGGTTCTCCGGGCAGGAAGACTGGAGGGGCCTCCCTGGGGGTCAGGGGCAAAGCATCCGCCTGTCAAAGCAGGAGACCCGGGCTGGAGCCCGGATTTCGGGCAGATCCCACACGCCTCGGAGCAGCTAAGCCCGGGGGCCGCAACCAGGGAGCCCAGGCGCCGCACGTCCTGAAGCCCCGCAGCCTAGAGCGCCTGCTGCCCGCAAGGGAAGCCGCAGGGCGAGGAGCCTCCGCCGCGGCTGCACCGCCTCCCCGCCCGCCGCAACCAGAGGGGCCCCGCGCAGCCACGAGGCCACGCACGGCCGAAAAGAAAGACTCAGAAGCACAGGAGCGGGCTGCCGTGTCCTTCTCCAGGGCACCTTCCCGACCCAGAGATGGGACTCGAGTCCCTCGCGTCCCCTGCGTTGGCAGGCGCGTTCCTCAGCAGCAGCGCCACCCGGGCTTTGGTAGGACGGTGAAAGGGCCAGTTAGAAAACAGGACGGACAATGATGTAAAGTGATTAGCCTCCAACCAATAAAAATAAATGGAAATAAAAAAATAAATGGAAGAAAAAGAAAACAGCACGGAGGCTGGTCAGATAATTAAAACTAAGAGCTGCCTTACCATCCAGCGGTCCCACCGCTGGGTGTATATCCAAGGGAACGAAATCCGTTCCTCAGAAAGACCTCTGTGCTCTCGTGTGTTCATGCCGCCTCGCTGAACGTGGCTAAGATGCGGAAACAAGCCAAAGGTCCGCTGACAGGTGAGCGGATAAACAAAATGTGGTTTGCAGGGACAACAGAATATTGTTCAGCCTTCAGAAAGATGGAAATCTTGCCATTTGTGGCAACATGGACGGGCCTAGAGAACATTACGCTAAGAGAAATAAATCAGAAAGAGGAACACTGCAGAATCTCACTTATAAGGGCTGAGCTTTTTTTTTTTTCCTTCATTTTTAAAGCAACATCTTAATGTAGCGCGATGACAATGTGCAAAAGAAACCCAAAAAGTGATTTTAAAAAATCGTTTCAATGCAGTAGCCACCGTACGTGTTCAACTCAGGAAACCGGGGGAATTTCTCAGGATATAACGGCGATTGTCCCCAGTTAGCTGAAGTCCCCCAGGACCTGGTCAAGCAACACTTATGACAGTGGTAATTTGACTCATCACTAATCAATGATCATAATTGATTAACGCCGCCTACCTTCTCACTTATATAAAAAGGAAGAGCTAGCATTCATCATGGCAGGCACCACACTTCAAATGCAGTACTAAGCACTCTACATGTATTATTTCATGTAATCCCAACAAACAACCCTAGGAGGTAAGCACAGTTGCCACCCCCATTTTACAGAGGAAGAAGCTGAAAACAGAGAGGGAAAGTAAATTGCTCAAGATTGGGTTCAAGCTAAGCTTAAGCGAAGCTAAGCTAAGCTAGGCTCAAGCTAAGAAGTGGGATCGCTGAGATTCAGCCAGGCAGACTGGCTCCAACATCTGCGTTCCTGGACATTCTCTAGCAACAGCTAGCAGATTGCAGCCCACGGAACAAGTCCACCGCTCACCTGTTCTTTTTTTTTTAATAGAGTTTTATTGGAACACAGCCACAATCATGTGTGTACTTACAGTGTGGCTGCTCTCATGATAAAACAGCCAAGTTCAGAATCTATGTCGGAGACGTCTGTGGAGGCTCTTCGTTCCACAGGGCTGTCCATACCCTTCAAGTCGGAGTGACATGGTTATAACTCAATTTTTTCTTGGCACGGGCCCCCCACCCCCACCCCAAACCAAAAATATGTGCTATCTGGTCTTTTACCAAAAACCTTTGCGGGCCCCTGTTACGCTGTCGCTAGACAGCTGACCCCATGAGGGCTGCACCAGAGCTTGCTGGATTCACCGTCGGGCCCCCAGGTTCTAGGACAGCCCATCTCGCCTCACACAGCACACTTGCTCAAGACAATATTTGTGAAAAGAACCAGTGAGTGCGTGAACCAGCCCTCACTGATACCTCAACATGTCATATGTACAGATGCCCATCTGCTAGCCAGACATGACGCGAGGACACATCCCGCTCCTCCCAGCAACCCCACACTGCGCTCAACACAGTGGGCCTGGGATTCAGACCTGAGCTGTGATACGGGAAAGCCACACACCTGCTTCCCACACCAGGCTTGGCAAACAGCAGGCCCTTTAAAGTTGACAGTTTATACCCTTGTTGACTGGGCTTTGTGTGATAACGTGCCATAACTGGCTTCCCCCCTCACCTAAGGTCTTTCTTTCGTTTTTGGCTAAAGATGGTACTTAAGGTGATGGCTTGGGCATTACTTTGCCAACAAAGGTCCATCTAGTCGAGGCTATGGTTTTTCCAGTGGTCATGTATGGATGTGAGAGTTGGATTATGAAGAAAACTGAGCACCAAAGAATTGATGCTTTTGAACTGTGGTGTTGGAGAAGACTCTTGAGAGTCCCTTGGACTGCAAGGAGATCCAACCACTCCATCCTAAAGGAAATCACTGGAAGGACTGATGCTGAAGCTGAAACTCCAATACTTTGGCCACCTGATGTGAAGAACTGACTCATTTGAAAAGACCCTGAAGCTGGGAAAGATTGACGGCAGGGGGAGAAGGGGATGACAGAGGATGAGATGGTTGGATGGCATCACGGACTCAATGGACATGAGTTTGAGCAAGCTCCAGCAGTTGGTGATGGACAGGGAGGCCTGGCGTGCTGCAGTCCATGGGGTTACGAAGAGTCAGACACGACTGAGCAACTGAGCTGAACTGAACTGGTCCACTTCAGGGAATGACTCAGTTTTCCCGGTTAGGTCCCACATATTCAGGAGGTATGGTGGTGGTGGTTTAGTTGCTAAGTCACGTCTGAATCTTGCAACAGCCCCATGGACTGTAGCCAGCCAGGCTCCTCCGTCCATGGAATTTTCCAGGGTTCATTTCCTTCTTCATCAGGCAGTAAATATGCTACTAAAATTCTGTTTGTTTTAAAAAAAAAGAAAAAAGCTTATGGTTTGGTCATCAAGTAGTGGTCACTGGGCCCAGGTCCTGAGTCTGAGCAGTTTGAGACTCTGGGCTTCCTGGGCCAGCCAGAGGCCTGGAAGCTGCAGGCTGAGGAACAGAAAAGACACTTTGCCACCAACGCAAATGTGACAGCAGAGATATTTGAAATACGAGCTGGTGTCTCACTAGCCCCCTAGATTATCCGGCCCACTGGGTCTGTTTCCCAGTCTCCAGAACTAAGCTTCTCCCATGCCAAGGGAAGTGGGAGGAATCTGGGAACACACAAAGAATCCAGAGCATAAAAGCAAGCTGCACCCCCGCCCCTCCGCCGGCCGCGTCTCTGGACTGATTCTTGTCCTTGGTCCCTGCCTCAGCCCCCAGAGACCAGGCCTGGCCCGGCCACTAGCCCAGGGCTCCTGGGTCCTCCAGCGCTTTCCGCCCTCCAACCAAGCCCCCCGCGTCGGCCTCTGCACAGCGGTAACCGGCCTTCCCCTCTGGCCCTCCGGGAGGGACGAGCCCACCTGCCCTGCAGTCACCGCTGGACGGCCCTTCTGCCCTCGAGGGGACCGATGTTGCCCGCCGGGCCGCCCAGCCTGGGCCGCCCAGCCCCAGGCCCTCGCCCTGTGAGAGCCCCGGAGGCCGAATCCACACAGCCAACCACGTGGTGGGCACCCTCCGTGCCCCCGCAGTGACCTGTCCCTGCGTCTGAGGGGAGAAGAGGGTCGTGTCCAGGGAGGGATGAGGACGCAGAGACCCAGGCGCTAGCCAGCACGTCGGGGATCGAGACCCGGCCTGGGCTCAGGTCCCAGGCAGCTGTGATGCTTTGCAGAAACCTCAGCTCCCTTCCGCTTCTCTGCCTTCTTCTCCCTTGACCTTTCATTCCTACCCAATCTGCAGGCACTAGACTGAGGGATAATACAGGATGATACAATGAGCTTCCCTGGGGGCTCCATGGTAAAGAATCTGCCTGCCAACGCAGAAGACTTGCCCTGGGTCAGGAAGATCCCCTGGAGATGGAAATGGCAACCCACTCCACTTCCTTGCCTGGGAAATGCCATGGACAGAGGAGCCTGGTGGGCTACAGTCCATGGGGTCTCAAAAGAGCTGGACACGACTCAGTAACTAAGCAACAGCAATAACATACCAATAATACAACATAATAAATAGTGAAGAGTTGACCTTGAATAGCCCAGGGCTTCAGGGTGCTGGCTGTCTATATTCGAGGTTCTAGACATTTGTGGCTTCAAGTGACCACAGACCACGTCGTCCTGTTGTATTCAGTGTTGAAAAAGAATCTGTGTATAACTGGACCCACGCAGTAAATCTGTATTGTTCAAGGGTCAACGGTATATTGTATTAATAATAGTATATGATCTCTAACATAGTTTATATAATGCACACAAATACATAACCATTATTGAGCACTTACTTTGTGTAGGGGGGCTTGACAGAAAAGACCTTCTCTTAGCCTTTACTATTGCCCTAAAGTAAGCCTTCTCAACAGAGTGACATCTCTCCCAACTGGGGAAACCATCAGCTCTTGAGGGGTGAGTGATCTGAGGCTGTTAGTGCTTTGTGGTCCTCCGCCAAGTAGAAAAACAGGTGTGCTCTGCGTCTGTGGCATTAGAGTCTCAACATAGGGAGGGAGGCAATGGGGAAGGGCACGTCTAAAAATGTTGCTCAAAGAGGCAGCTCTTTTTTCAAGGTTGAGTCACACTGCCCTGAAAGGGAAGGTCCCCATGAACATGGTGCCGGCTCAGAGGTGAGTTAACTCGCCCATGGGCACACGGCTCCTGATCTGTGCAGCAAGAATAAAGGCCAAGCCTACTCACGGAAGCCAGGCCCTAAGTGACGTCTGAACACTGTCTCCAAACACCAAGTTCCAGGTAGTACCGGGAAGGGGCTGCGAACCCCGCTACTCAGCGAAGTGTGGGCCTTAAACCAGCCGCAGCAGCATCACCCGGGAGCTTGCTAAAAATGCAGGAAGGCAGAGTCCCAGGCCCTGCCCCAGACCTGCCTGCGGAGAGCCCACAGCTCGCCCAGAGGACAGCCTGCCCGTCCAGAAGCCAAGGGAGCCGGGGTTCCCGCACGCCAGGTGAGCGGCCTTGAACAGCAGAGAGACGAAGACATCCACACTTTGTTCCCGCAGGCCCTGGTCCTCAGCCCCGATCGGGAGCTCCCTTGTCAGAGTAATTATATTTAAGGGTGTTCTCCGACTTGCTGTATTCCCCGGAAAAGAAAGAAAAATGAAGTTCTCTTTCAGGTTTGCAGGGTGGATAATGTCAAATATTTACAGAGCAAACATCATTCTAGAGGCACGCCATTCTCTTCCCTCTGATTAGGGGGCTGTCAATCACGCCCCGGGGAGAGGGCCCGTCTGCTTGTCTCCGGAGAAGCCACCTGTCATCGCGGCTGAATTCTGCGTGCCTGTCGAGTGGGGGGCGCGGGGAGAGGGTTC